ATAATTCCTTATATGTTTTATAATATCTTATGGTATACCCATCAGGTCCAGGACTTTTCCCTTTTGCAGTACATTTTAAAGTATATTTCTTCCTGCATTATTGTTGATTCCAGAGATTTTAATTGTTCCTCTTCTAATTTCGATAGTCCCTCTTTTTTTTAAATATGTCCGTCTTTTTTCTATTTTTCCTGCCTCCTCTTTACTATGGGGAATGATGTTATATAGCTTATTATAATATTCTTTAAACACTTTAGCTATATCTTTAGTTGAATACACTAATTCGCCTCTGTTGTCCCTTATTTTACATAGTTCCTGGACTTTTTTCCTGTGAGCCCTCATTAAATATATTCCTGGTCTACCTCCCCATCTATATCTCTCACATAGCATTTTATTAAACACTCTTCTCCTATCTTCTTCCAGAAAATTATTTAATTCCTCTTATTCATAACCCTCTGCATAGTCTCTTTTGTTACCCTATTTTTATGTTTCTGCTCTAACTCCCAGATTTCCTTCAGAAGCTTATTTTTTCTCTCCTTTCTCTCTTCTTTTTTGCTCCAATCGCTTTCAGGATACCTCTGATATAGGCTTTATGAGTCTCCCACACAGTTGTCCCAGACACCTCCTCAAGAGTCATTTTCCTTAAAAAATTGCTCTCTCTCTTTTTTAATCTTTTGATCCGTCTCTTGATCCTGTAGAAGTGTCTCGTTTAACCTCCACAGTTTCCTCCTATTCATCTCATTTCCCCAAAGTAATTTCATTATGACCAGAGCATGATCCGATATTGATATCTCCTCTATATTTACTTGAACCAGAGACTCAATAAGTCGATGGTCCAACAGTATATAATCCAATCTTGAATAAATCTCATGTGCATGAGAATAAAACGTATAGTCTCTGTCCTTCATATGCTTAATTCTTCATATAGCCACAAGTTGACATTTATATAGCATATTCTTTAAAAATCTAAGAGACCTACTGTCAGGGATCCCCTCGATCCCCGCCGCGATGGTCCAGGCGCAGGCGCACTGCACCGCCCTGTGCGGGGACACGGGCACTAGTTCCGGGCCGGCCGCAGCGCTCGAGTTCGCGCATGCGCAGTAGAAGCCGCGGCCGCCCGCTGGGCACCAATGGCAGCACAGGGCGGGATATTTAAATGTCCCTGTGCTGTCATTTCAGTGCCTTCTGGTCCTACCTGTATCCTGCGAATCTGAACCTGTGCCTTGTAAGTTATTTGACCCGGACTGCTCTTGACCTGCTGATTTCTCCTGCCCAGACCCTTGCTTTGCCTGACCTCTTTTCCTGAATGCCCCTCATTAGATCTGACCTACTGTTGCTGACCTGGCGTGTGACCCGACGATTCTCTGCCTGCTCCCTTGTACCTTACCGCCCTCTACGTTACCAACTCGGCCTGTCTGACTTCGCACTTGCTCAGCCATCCATCCATCCCATCGGGGTCACCCGACCTCCTTACATTTGGCTCTCCCTGGTTGGAGTCCCTGGCAAACACCCCCTACCACTGACAGGTGTGCTCAGTAGTGGCGACCTGGTCCCGGGGTACTACAAGTCCATCCCCACCATCAGGGGCCCTGGTGAACAAGTACCCTGGGGCTTAGACTCCGCGCTCTGGGCGCGCCTGACCAGTGGAGTGCTAGTGGTGCCGTCCGGCGGTCCCTCACACCTACTTTCATCCCTCTGCACACAAGACGTCATATCTGAGGGTCCATACAAAGATTAAAATCTCCGACCACAATTAAACCACCTTTTTTGAATCCATTAATTTCCTCGCGTATTCTTTAGTTTCTCCAGTTTCTTTAGTCTCCAGTTTCTTATTTGGGCAATAGATATTCGCTAGAGTACATTCCCAATCCTGTAATTTCCCCTTCAGAAACAAATATCTCCCTTCCGGGTCTACCATCCTGTCTTCCAAATTAAACCAGGCATTTTTCACGAAACCTATTGCTCATTGCTATTGCCTTTGGCTCATTTAATTGGGGAATCTGCATAATGCCATATTGGATAATATCTGGAATTTAGTTTCACATTTGCTTCTTGTTCTAAATGTGTCTCCTGTAAAAAAAAAAAAAAAACCACTGAAGAGAATCTGTGCTGAATTTCCTTAAAAAATCCTAAATTTCTTCCCAAAGCTATTTAAACCTTTAACATTAAAAGTCATAAAGTTAATCTCTTCCATTCTTCCTTTCTTCTCCTCTTCCCCGTATCTTCTTTTTCTAGGTTTTCTCCAGATGGATTTATTTTACTATTTTGCAGTCTAAAACGACCTACCCTTCCCTCATACCCTCCGCCCATCCCCCCCCCACCACCCCCCGCTCCCTCCCAACCCCCCTCCTCCCTTTTTAGGCAAATAATTAGCCTATGAATCATTTGTGGTATAAGTCCCACCTTTGATTCCACTTTAGGGTGAAGCTCTGAGCGTGCCTGCCTTATCCCATTTATAGTCCCCCAGCGTCTCGTCAGCTTAACCAGAATGAGGAATGTTTGAAAGAAGAGGGAAAAAAAATATATATTTTTTTTAACTAAACAAATCGCACACATAGCACTACCCCCTTAGGAGTTGCTGGATTATTTTTGGGTTCCCTATTGCTCTAGACCCCCCTCTCTGAAAGCCCAACCCCTGCTGACACCACAGTACACTGTTAACTGGAATAAAATTACCACCAGAAAGTAAACCCCCACACTGATTGGAGTAAACTGGTAAGAGGTTTATAGCAGATTTAAGTGTAGCTTGGTTACACAGCATAAACAATATCTACATATGCAAAGTAAGTTATTTGTGTCACCTTTAAACAAAGAAAAGACAACACTTATCACAGAGTCACAGATAGTCTTAGCAGGCCTGCTTTTCAGAAACTAACCAAATACCTTCAACCTGAGGGGGCTTTATAGCTCCCAGTGAACAAGCACTATCAAAATAAGCAAGGCTAGCTCACTTTGGGCCCTCAGGACCTGATGGCAGGGATGTAGCCTGAATTAAAAGAGCTCTTTACCCCTGAAGTAGGACCAACCCTTTTAAATGCAATAGCAAAAGGTCTCTTTAAAAGGATAAATTGATAATGATAGTGACACAGCCAGGGTTTGGCCTGTGGGATGACTGTCCTGCTAACAGTGTTGGTGTCAAGGCTATGTCAAGTGTGGTTAAGCAATAGCAGCTGGTGAAAAGGCTAGGCCGCAACCTATAGTGACTGTATGCAACTGTGTGGAGGAAATAGCAACTATGGAGCAAGTGTCAGTGTTCTTTTCACTAAGCAAGGCTTAGCACTCTCTCACAGGAGGAATGGCATCTGACAGATCCTTGCGGTCTCTCTGTCCAGATGGGGCCCACTCGAACTCCCCGGTCTTACCTGCAGCATTATATCCAGTCACCTGCTGGCAGATCAGCTCTCTGGATCAAATGACAAAGTCAGCGTGCAGCAGATTCTCCTGGCCTCCCTTCTCTCTCTCTGCCATGGTCTGGTCTGGTCCTCAGGTGATCAACACACTCCTCTCTCTAGATTCTCCCCTCTCACTTCCTGTCCAGTCTCCTGGGCTTTGATATAAATATGCCCCTGCCCACACACCAGCTCCTCTGGGAAATGTAGTTTCTAATTGCACTGCTCCTCAGCAGAGTCCTACGATTCAACATACAAGTTCCATAGAACTGTTCAACATGTGAATGCCATTGTTCTGCAGGACACTGCCATCTTGTGTTGGCTTCAACATCCTGCAACAAACATTTATAGCAGGGTGTTACATACATGTCTATTTGATAGGGTTGGCTCTGACCACATCAATGCTACTCTGTAAATTAAGAATGCTTTCAGAAATAGAAGTGCTAATAGTTAATTTTTATCAGTTAACAAAATGGAATGTAAATGAACAGAAGAGAAATCCAAATCAAATCAATATTTGGGGTTACCACCCTTTGCCTTCAAAACAGCATGAATTCTTCTAGGTACACTTGCACAAAGACTTTGAAGGAATTCAGCAGGCAGGTTGTTCCAAACATCTTGGAGAACTAACCATAAATCTTCTGTGGATGTACGCTGCTTCAGATCCTTCGCTCTCTGTGTCCCAGACAGACTCAAAAGGATCAGCCCTGTTGAGATCAGGGCTCTGTGGGAGCACTCATTGTTCTTCTTTACACTGAAGATACATTAGTTCCTAATGACACTGGCTGGATATGGGGTTGTTGTCCTGCTGCAGAACACATTTGGGGCCAATTACATGCCTCCCTGATGGTATGGCATGATGTATCTACACATTATTGTACCACTCTCCAGCCTGTCAGCAAACAAACTGACTCCCGCTACAGCCAAATATTCCAAAGTTTGTCTCATCAGTCCAGAGCACCTGCTGCCAATTTCCTGCAGTTCCTATGTTTTCATGCATAGTTAGTTCACTTAGCCTTGTTTTCAAGTCAGGGGTATGACTTTTTGACTGCAATTCTTCCATGAAGACCATTTCTAGCCAGACTTCTCTGGACAGTTCATGAGTGTACTTGGGTTCCACTGGTTTACGCCAGTTCTATGCTGATGGCCCTGCTGGACATCTTCCAATGTCAAAAGGAAGTAAGCACAATGTGTCTTCATCTGTTGCATTAAGTTTTCTTGGCCAACCACTGCTTCTACGGTCCTCAATGTTGCCAGTTTCTTTGTTCTTCAAAAGAGCTTGAATGGCACATCTTGAAACCCCAGTCTGCATTGAAATCATTGCCTGGCTGAGACCTTGCTGATACAGTATTTTGTGTCTTTTTGCTGTCACCCAACCACAGATAATTGCTCAGTACAGGTGACAGCATCCTTATGGACTCACTCATCTGGGTTAAGATACTATTTAGATCTCACCCAAGCGCATCACTTCAAACAATACATGCTTTTTTATATACTGTATATAAGGTTATCTGCACTTAAGGATTGGGGTAGTGAGCGTAGGTTTACTTTTAACTAATAACCCAAACCTATTCCAAATGTTACGGTTTTAGAAATTTCAAAAAATTAAATACCTTATGGGTGAATGGATGACATTCTTCTCCTTCTTGCCCCAGTGGAGTGCACATCCTTAGGCCACGTAACCACAGACTTATTGCACAGCATGTTCCAACCCCACATTGCAGGTCTCTCTCACAGGCCTAATTGAAAGGATATACATTTGTATTTATTACTTCAGTATTTTGCAGTATTTTTAGTTTGGCAAGCAATTTAGATCAATGCTGATAAACCTGCTAGATGTAGGGGCACTCAAGTGTGAGCCCTAGGGGTGTCCATACACACTACAACCTAATTGTACACTCTCATTAAATGAGAAATATAAAATAAAAGACATTAACCTGATTTGTGGTTCTGATAGTGCAAGTACTGTGGTTTGGAGCAGCAGCAGCTGTGGTAGGAGCAGGTTTGTAGCACCTAGCAGCAGTTTTACAGTGCACATGGTGCTACATAGAACACTTTCTCTGAGCTCCTCACATGTGCATGACCTATGACAAATTGAGGGAAGGCATTTCATTACCTTCCCACACATGATGCAAAATAACAAAGGCTAGCAATGCTTCTCCTGTTCCAGGTCACATATAACCACATTTTCAAACACTGAATAAGGGTTGCAAAATAAGTACCAAGGATATTCGTAATACTTGTGGTACACCAAAGATTTAAAAAAGGTAAAAGGTAGGTTCTCCATTACATATCTGGTGGAGTTGCTGTTTATCCTCTCCCTTTTGGCCAAAAAAATTTTAACTCTTACAATTCGATGTGTATTTCAAGTATTCAGGCATCTCCAGCAGTGGCTCTGTTGTCGATGATCCCTGGGTCTATCTCAGCATGAAACACTATCTCACGACACTGGAAATCTGCCTCTCCTGCCAGTCTATTTGAACAGGCCTAGATACTTAATGAGATGATGGCGACGGAGACGTTGGTTACAGCAGACAGCCCGGACCCTGAAAAATTCTACACCACCTGGATGTGTTGGTGGGCCTGAAGTGACAGGTTTCAAGCTCTAATCTCCCACTGATAGGTGTTGTTCATTTCCTCTTACTTCTGGTGAGTTCTCAGATTGCCTGATTTACACCCCTCTTCTCTACCCCTCCCCATTTTTTTTCTCTACCTTGTCATTTTCCCCTCCCTTACACTTTTCATGTTGTATTATTTAATGCCATGGTTGGCTTTTTATTGATTGTAGTATATAAGGTGAAGTTGGCAACCTATTTTATTCATTACTTGCTGTCACATCTGTCTAAGTGCTTAGTCTGCCTCTCCTATCTGCTTGGAGGGCATCAAACACGCGTTTCAGTTGGTTTTATACACGTTGCAGATACCTGTGCAAAAATAATCCACATGTGATACCAGTGTTATGGTGTGAACAGAGCACAAAACTCCATTAGGCCCCATGACAAGTCATACCCCATCTGTGGCAAGGGAACTGTTCAAGTCGGTGTGACTCCCACCTACTTTGAAAAAGGTTCCTGCACTATTTTTTTGTGATTTTATGTGCCATTTGCATTGACATCAATGCTTAAGTCACGCAGATGTCGGCAAGCCGCACATGAAGTCACACTGATCATCGTTGTTGAAGTAGCTTGATTTCAAAGTCACATTCAGTGTAAACCAGGGCTAAATAACCTATCTAGGAAATATCCTGACCCTGCCTGTGAAGTACGTATTTGTGTGATGTATACAACCTACTACAGCAACACGGACACTTACAAAGAAAAAATGTATGTTTAAATTGCCGGCAAAATGGCAGCTCCCTGCTGTTTCATTATTTTTGCAAGCAAAATGACTAGGGATTCCATTCATCTATACCAGACCTTTACCCTAAATATCCTAAACAGCATGGGGTCCCCCTTAATTCATACGAGCCTTTTTAGGTCTGGTATACATTTTAAGGGAGCCCAATACATAAAAAAGGAGTGAGGTTCCCCCAAAATCTATACCAGATCCTTGGGGTCTGGAATGGATTTTTAGAGGGAACCTCACGCAAAATCAAGGAAGAAAAAAATTGTGTGATCCTTCCAAAAAATCCATACCATACCCTTATCCAAGCATGCAGGAAAGGGGAGGTGAAGACATAGGGGGAGCACCTTGATGGAGGCATGGGCCTTTTTTTCACAACCCTGGCACAATTGTTGTGGGGGTCTGTGGGCAACGGACTTATCTGAATCTTGAAGCCCCTTTTAACAATAAGGGGGCTCCTAGATATCACCCCCTCATGTGAAAGAAAGGGATACATAGTATTTGTCAGAGTTAGTTGATGGTGCCAGGTATCAGGCATCATGATTGCATTTACATCTCTGGATGATGTGATTGATTGTGACTGTGAATGTACCTGTGCATCGTGGAACATTTTTTGGATTTTCTTCTTTATTAAAAGGTAACAGGTATTTATATAGCACCAACAATTTACACAGCACTTTATGTATATATGTTGTACTTTCACATAAGCCCATGGCCTCAAGGAGCTCACAATCTAAGGGAAACTAGGGAAAATGTACACAGGAGCCAATTAACCTAGCACATCTTTAGAGTGTGGGAGGAAACCCGCACAGGCAGAACATGCAAACTCCAAGCAAGTAGTGCCGTGGTTTGCATTCAGATTAACAACCCTAGTGCTGCTAGGCAGAAGTACTAAACACTTAGCCACTGTACTGCCCAGATGTGGAGTAAATTGGTTTGGATACGTATAAACAGAAAAGATCTACTTTATCAGGTGGTTTATGTATGGTTTTGGACTTTTTTTGAATCGAAGAAAGGATATCCATCACTAGGGATGAGCGAATGTACCGTGGTTCTGTTTGTGTACCATTCGTCAAACCCATCTAAGGGCAGATTATTGCCATCCTTCATGTAGAGCCGCTGGCAGATGCATGTGCTTCCATCTTTGATCTGGGTGCATACAGCCCATAGAAGTGGAGGCATTGTCAATTTGATTGGACACAATCAAATGACAAAATTTGACATGCAGGAAAGGAGCGGGTGCACGGATTCAAACACGAGCCTCTCTTTGTTTAGATGTGTACAAAAGTTTTGTACACATTTAAATGCAGCACTATAGTAATCAATGAGCCCACATACACAGCATCGCCATATAAAAATATGTCCTGCGTTTAGCCCCAAACAAAAAAAAGTAGGACACAGTTGCAGATTTTATGCTCATACGCACATAAACGTGCTTTAGTGGGAATAAACACAAAGTTCATTAGGCACATATTTTACACAGGATCTTCTAACTCTGCCAGCAAGAACCTTTCTATCATGCAGAAAATACATATATGTCCATGTGAATGAGCCCTAAGGCACAGGGGCATATGACTATGCTCTAAATATGCTGGTTTATTCCTGCATATGGTGTTGAACGTAAATGAATTCTACGGGCCAGAATATTAATTTATTCTGGCCACTGTAATACATTTATTACTCATTCAGATGGCAGATTAGTGCAGTCCTGCAAATGCAGCGCCAGGATGGACACAATCACACGGGGAAGTATGGTATCTGGGCAGGAGCGGGTGCATAGATCCAAACATAGCTTTGTGTTGCATTTGCATCCACTTCTATGGGCTGTCTACACGCAGGTTTGAGGTGGATACACCTGCATCTGCCAGTGGCTGTCATGTACCTGGATAGTGAGCCTGACATGAAGAGGCAGGCCTCCCATACAGCTCCAGCATGAGGGCTACTGATAGTGGGATAGCAGCCGCAGGAGCATGGCAAGGTATGAGTGCCTGTGATCAGTCTAGTAGTCAGTGTTTCAGCAGTATCTGGCACGCAGGTGAAGCAGCAGGACAGACCGATGGCAGATATCTTTGCACGGACCTTGGTTGCCAGTAGGCTGGAGGTTTGTAGTGAGGAGCAGGATCCGGATGGAGCCTTGCTGGATGGATGGATTGCTGGGAAGCAAGATGGAGGATGCAAGGTCAGATGAGCCAGGTCGGTAGCAGTCGGGCAGATCAGGCATAGACGGCAGGAGGTAGCTTAGTCGGGTCACAGGCCAGGTCAACAGCAGAAGTTTAATCAGACAGAAGCAGGAGGCAGAAGAGTAATCCAAGATGAGCCAGCGGTCAGCGCAGGTAGCAGACAAGCAGAGGTCAAGAACAAGCTGGGTCAGCATCAGGAGTCAGATACAAGGATCAGGATTCACACTCAGGCGCTAAAGACCAAATGGCAAAGAGACAATACTGCAGCCAGTTTAAATAGCCCTTTTGGCACCAGCATTAGTGACAGGCATGTGCCTGGATGTGCGAGTGCGCATGTGCAACTGCACGTGCCAATGCCCAAATACATAAACATCTATCTGGCCTGTCACTGTTCTGCACATGCTCACACTTGTGTGCCGCGAATCTTCACCTGCGTTATGGGCAAGCCTTTCCTGACAGTGGTTCTACATGGAGGACTGCACTAATCTGCCATCTGAATGAGCCCTAATGCTCAAAAGGATGTGTTTGTGCACATTTACATGCATTTACACGTGTAAATTGAATGCTGCTCTCAGAATGCTGCTTTGATGTGTTTTTTTTATGGTCTCTAAACGCTGCATTTAAAATACTATTCTGAAAGCCTGATGTGCATAAACTGCTGTACACCTGTAAAAGCAGCGGTTTTTTTTATGTCCGTGTGCATGAGGCCTTAAAGTGTAAAAACCACAAACTTAAAAACAAACCTGAGTAAATTTTGCAAATCAGTTCTGCCCATTTTTAAAGCAAGGAATTGTCAAACAAATGGCACAGGGAGCTGGGCAATGCCGCAAGGGCTGTGCAACATTTCAAGAGAAGGTTTTAAAATGCTGTTTTGTAGGAGGGGTTAACCAAGGGAATTTCCCTGATGGGCTCAAGGGGTGGCTTCTGCATGCAAGAGAAAACCAAGTAAAGATTCCAAAGAATCACAGAGTGCTGCAATGAGGGGTTAACATACGATATACCTGGAAGTAAAGTTTTTACAAGGGAGCCAAAGGTTAGAAAGAGAATGAACAAGGCTGAGACCTGTCCTTTCAAAGTGCTGAAGGCCAGGTTCTGGTCAAATCCTGAGTGAAAGAAGGCTAGAATGTAAGGTACAGAGTAATCTCTGGCATTGAGGTGCCTGTGTTCACACCAAGCAAAAAAAAAAGGATTTTGAAG